TTTATTTACACGAAGCCTTAGTGTTGTGTCCTTCTGGCGTCAGATTAGACTCTGACTGGAAGAACGAGTTAGGAAATAACAGTTCAAAAGCGACACAAAGATTAAAGGTTTCTGCAGTGTAAGGAAAGGGCTTACGGGAATCAGAGTGCTTCTCATTATTACTATGTAGAGATGAGTCATAGCGCACACCTGAGAAAACTCATGAGGGCAGTGAGTAGGCGTCAACATGTCCTATCAAGAATTTGATGAACTCGGTGGACGAGCAATTTGAGAGTAGATGCTTTAGTAAAGACACCGCTTTTCTATATTTAGAGTCTGAGCTGCGGATTTCAATGGTATACTGTTATTTCTTAACCCAGCAGCGGACTTTAATGACTTTTCTATTTCATTATTTGCTTTATTTTCATTAATAAGACAACAATAAGAGATTGTTAAACTGTGACGTCACTATAGCTAACCATTTGAACTTCATACATTCTTATTTTAATGAGAATCTTTACATTTTAGCTTGTTGAATTAAACATTTTTAAACACTGACTAATCAAAGAAAAACTAACAGAAAACTTTTTTTTTCTTTCTGCTTTTCCTTAACACTGAAATGCAAACAAATTTGATTTAAATGTTTGAATTGTGTGATTTACATTTTAGAAACCATATCTTGCACATTGTTTCAGTTGATTTATGAGTCCAATCGGGGCAAGATACCTTTGATTATATAAAAGAGATTACAGCTGCTGATCAAACCTGAAAACCATGAGCAACCTCGTGGCAGATAGTAAATAATCATAGATATTATTTATTCCAGTTACATCGAGCTTTTTTTTTTTTTTTTTACAGACAAACCTACTACATTATTTAGCTTTAAACCATCTGTCTTTAGTCTGAGGACAAGACACCATAATTATCTCAGGCATATTTACCACAAAACCTCCCGTTATAGAGGAGTTCTGTTTACCTTAAATGTTCGGATACAGAAAACTACAAAAGCTAAAAAACCAAATCAAATGAACCACAAATCTAATGATATGTTGACACCATCCATGGGGCTGTTTTGACTAAAACAAGAAGCCTAAAATTATAAGGTGGAAATTGCCCTCCATTAGGCCACTGAATTAAAGACACATCAACATTATATAAAAGCTCAAACAACTGAAGGATTTTCAAAGGTCCTAAGTCACTTTTATGTATCATGCCAATCATATGGGATAAATACTTCTGAAAATAGAAATTTTCTTTTTTTAACTATAAGCTTTAAAGTTTAACAACAAGTTAATACATATGTAAGACCGCATTGAGAGGACATATTTGTTTTCCTTACTTTATGAAAATGTTCATCATTTGTTTCATGTTCAAGTATGTCCATATTCATCAATCAGTATATCTTAACATAAGGAGGAGGAAAGTGGCTGTTAGTTTCTAATGTTTTAAAATCTTTCTTTCAGATTTTACTTTGAAAAATTTGAGAGAAACGTCTCCTTTAGGAAGTGCATTACAGTATGAAATACGCCTTGGCCGGGATTAATCAGTTACTACTGTCAGGGATTAGAAAGAAGCTTGTGTGGGAGTGTTGTTGGATTTATCTGGATGATGCAACAACTTGAAACATATTTCTTCCTGCTGACCCCACCCTGCCTCTCTTTATCAGTGCGGCATCTTCTGTTTACACTAAAGGCCTCTGAATGACTAATTCTCTCCTGCTCATTCCTCTTAATAAAAAAAAATAAAAAATCACCCGAAGATTAACAGAAGATGCCAGGTTTGCTTTTCTATATAAATGTTGGTTTGCCATATGTAGGTAATCATGAAGCATAGTGCATACCAATACTGCCTCATGTTTATTAAGCTTAAAAGCAAAGTACCGTAGAAGATCTTGTCTTTCATAGTGGAAAAATAACTTTATATTATACGGCGAGAACAAGACTAGATGAGAAATGTTCAGAACCAGAAAAATGTATCTAAAAAAAGCCCCCATGGTGGGACACTTAGAGCTCTAGTGACAAAAACCCCTGTGTGCCCTTTGGATCAGAGGCCAAAGGTGCATATCTATACATCTTTGTGTGTGTGTATGTAAGATTAACGTGGTGGCAATTTGTGAAGCAGTATTTATAGATGGAAAGAAGTCCCGTCCGCTTCTGTAATACTCCACAGATCAAAGCTTTCATGTGTTCATTGTAGCATGATCCCACTTCAAAGCTGGGCACATAGATGAGATCCGACTTGCAGGAGGGGTGGGACCCTGTGATAGGTTTCAATATTCCTCTGACTGTGACCTCTGACTTGTGGGCATTTATGCTCATAACGCTCCTCCATTCAATAGGAGCCTCAGATGGAGTGATTTCGATCGAGAAGAGCTTGCTTAGGGCTGTCGTTTCAGTTTTGACTGCAGTCCTCGAATAAACCCACCCACATTCATTTTATGCACATATAGATAATATATTTTTAGTTTTTTGTTCAGCTGTTTTTTTTTTCACTTTTCTTAACGCTTCTCCTAATTTGCATAAACCAGAAAACGCTTTATTGCTAAAAAGTTTTCTCACATGTATGTAGAATATGTTTTAATAATGAGATGCAACAAAATTGAAAAATATACAGTTGACATAAATTTAGAAATATGATTTTATGAGAATAGAGAAAAATAGAGGAAACCTTTTTCAGAGGGACAGCACCATTGCAGGTATTAAAAAGAGACAAAGACAAAAATATGAAGTTTAACTGAACGAAGTAATTAAGTATTTACGTGTGTGGAGCTAGTTGGATTATTTTCTGTGGGAATGTATGAGTGCATTTAGTTTCGAAGCCATAATGGGTCTCTGGTTAATGGCTCTCCAGCCTGTCTGAAGCTATTTTGTCTTCTCTTCAAACTATTTTTGGTTTTTCACTCTTTTTATAATTTTTTTTATTTATTGTTTAAGTTATTTAAATCCCCTCCTATGAATCACTAGGTCAAAAAAGTTTTTAAAATAGGTAAAATTTAGCCGATTTACTATATATTACAATTCTGTTACTTACAAGTCATCTTAAACTGTCTGCCACAAAAGGTTTGTAAAAATTTATTTTTAATGAATCTATGAAAATGTAGAAAAGATAAAACTATTTGACAGACATAGAAAAGTACTTTTAGAAATACTATGATGATTTTAAAACATTATAGAGCAAACTGAATAAAACATGCTGGATTTTTCAGGTCCTGTGTTTCTGTTAAAAGAACTGATAAAGCAATAAAAAAAAATCCACTGCAAAAACCAAAAAAAAAAAAAGCCGGGAGTATAAATGCTAGAGAGCATTGTGGGTTTTCATAAGAGAGCCTAACTCAACTTAAATAAGCAAAGAAGTGATAGTTTACAGTTAATTGAGATTATTACTGTTCGTGTATGATGAGATGAATCATTTACGGTAGCATTCAAAAAAGTCAAAAATATTAAATAGAGTCATCAGTATTAACACTTTAATTTGAAAAAGGAAAATATCTGAAACTGCTGGCTCAGTCAATCGTTTTTCTCTGGTATGATGTTGGATCATTTGAGAGATTAAAGACAGATACATTGATCTAGGTTATATTATGAATGAAAATATCAGTTTAGTAAACCTGTAGACTCTTGGTAGGAAAAGTTTCTTACCATCGTTAAAGTGCATACATATATATAAATGTATATCAGTGATACATCACACATCTCTGTCCAGAAGAGTGCAGTTCTAGGAACATATAACATATATATATATATATATATATATATATATATATATATATATATATATATATATATATATATATATATATATATATATATATATATATATATATATATATATATATATATATATACACACACACACATTCACATTTCCCAAGTTACAGTTCAATTATTCAAACCAGAATTTATAACACAAATGCAGAAGAAAAAATATATATCTAATGAGTTTAGAGACATAAGAAAACAAGAATCTGGACAGAATAACTAAATACAACCAACAACCAATTAAAGAGTTGACTAAAAGAAACCAACGTACCAGAATTAAAGGATCTTGCTTGGTTGGTTGGACAGGAACATGATCTTTGAGGGAGAAGAGAAAAAAGAAAAAAAATCCAACTGTACTTTTTGCGATTTTTAACTAATTTAGTGGAAAAGCTCTCTCTATATAATCTGTTCACAGTAACAGAGCTGATAGCCATGAGGCAGCCACTGACAAGCAGCACTTTTTAGCTGAGCTTGACAGGAAAATTATTTACATCCTAACTTTTTAAAAGAGATTCCTAAAAGGGATGTACTGTTTCAGTCTTGAACTCAAACACTATCAAATTTTTAATCAAATTAAAAGCCAATAATGTGTTGTTATCAAGAGGGATCCCACAGAGATGGCCTCTGTGCATCAAATAATTAATTGATCGCGAAAGATATTTCTGGATTAAGATTTTTAAATACTTTTCTTTGTAATATACAGAAAAATATTTAATATACTCATATTTAATATACTAAAAAAACTTAATATACTCACACTAATGTAAACATAGAACCAATTTTTGAATTAAAATATCAGTAATTTATATTTAACAATCCTTTGGAAGCCTACTTTTCAAGTTGAACCTGTCCAGACTCCACCTCACCTCTCACCAACCGTTCAGATATATAGAGAGCAGACAAACCTGACTGGAACATTCAGAAATAAAATAGGCATAAAAGAGGGATGGATTTCTCTTAGCTATGATTTATATAATTCATATTAAATACTAAAATCTGCCAAAATTAGGCAGATTTTAATAGTGAGACAATTTTCTTGGTTAAATTCTAGTGTAGATTAACAAATATTATGCTATACTTAACACAATTTAGATATCTATTTTGAGTTACCATTTATATTGTAAAACACTTTATTCTATAGTTTAATACCCTTTAGAATTAAACTGCTATAAAAACATGATCTTTTGCCACCTTTTGAAATGTAAATTATTAAAAACATTTGAAATGTCAAACACCCAACCAAGAAAAACCAATGCAACCATGTCGGTTTAATACTTTTAATTTTCTTCAAATACATCCACTCCTTGCTTCCATTATCAGATTGCACCAGTACATGAACCATAAAAGCCACCACACCTTGAAAGCAGGTGTGTTCGGATACACCACTATAGTCTAAAGTGTCCGTTGATGAATGTACCTGGTAGTTATGACTCAGTCCCCAAACCCTCCCAGTGACAAGAGTCACATTCCACTTGACGCCAGAGAGGAAGAGGGACTTCCCTGTCCTCTACTCCCATTTCATGGTCACATGTGGCGTTGAAGGAATACTGCTGAACATTTTATCAGCATCGGTTATACTTTTTTACCTCCCCCCTGAATCATGCAGGCCTAAAGGGATGTTGACAACCTCAAAAAAAAAAAAAAAAAAAAAAAAAAAAACTTTTCCAAAGTAAAACAGCAAAAGGAAAAAGTTATATTAAAAAGAAAATGGACATTTATTCAAATAAATACATTTAAACAGAAAATAATTTAGACAACACAAGTAGTTTAACAGCAACACCATACATCAGGACAAAAATAAATTAGCAGGATTTTAAACGCCAGTTCTCTCTGTAGAGTAAACGTGAAATAGTTCTGACATTTCAAAAGTTCAGTCCACTTGTTGAGCTTTGGTTTGGATCATTTGTCTTGAGGGAGCTCAGTCCCGGACAGTCCTTCATCTCTGGACCGGATGACCTAGTCTTCCTTTTTGGCCCACTTTCCATTTTTTCCTCAAAAGTCCCTGTAGACTCTAGAAGATGTAAGAAAGAACGTGTTATAATTTTCACTTATAAGTAGTTTTCTAGATGTATTGATATTTATATGCAGGGTAAGACAAATCTCTCACCATATTAGGATGGTTTTGAGCCTGCGCCCTGGAGCGGCTCAGGGCGCGCGGGCCATGCGCCTCTCCTGTCCGGGCGATGCGCCGTCATTGTCCTGCCGCGTCTTAAAGTCCAGGAGCGCCTTTCTGTTCTGGTAATCAATCAGAGCCATGGTGATCACTGCGTTCCAGCAGGTTTGATCCACGGAGCACCGGAAGTCGATCTCTTTGTCATCATTTGTAACGATGGTGAAATAGATGAATTTGCCGGTGCGCTCCACGCAGTCCACCTTTTTGATGGACTGGAACTTGATCTCTTTGCTCTTGGAGCGTTTCTGCGTGTCTGTGGCCGCGTAAATGTTGAGGCTGTCCTTGGTCAGGACGCACGTCTTCTTCTTCCAGAACTGGAGGAGATTGTCGCTCCTCTTCTCCAGCTCTCCCTCCCTGATGATCTCCCCCACTGACATTTTCATAGCTTTTTTTTTTGTGGACAGGTTGCTGATCGCAGTCCCGCTCTGCTTTTTGGTCCGAGGACAGCGAATAGTGAGCTTCTCCGCAGCGGGTGTGGTAATCCAAAATGTGGCTGTGAATGAGAGAGGCTGGTTGGTTTTTATACTCTCAGCCCCTCCCTCCTTACGTCAGCTGCTGTTTGGGAATGCAGCTGCCAGAGGAGCGATCCAAGGCTGGGTGTGCATGGGCGGAAGCTGTGGCGCAGGCAGGTGGGGGAGGAAGTGGACCTAATTACGCAGCCGACATGTTCATCTGTAATCCACATCCCACTGTGGAGTTAGTCCAAATATTTGCCCATTCTGCAGCAATCTTCAGATGTGTACACACATCAATCTACTGGGAATCATGTATAAAAGTTAAAGAGAATCGCAGTGATTAAAGGGCAACCATACAATCCTTTTTGACTGTAACAGCATGTTTTGGATAACTCCAAAATTGAAATCTTTCAAAAATGTATTCATTTATTTAAAAGAAAATATGCTCTTTTTTTGTAATTTTTCTTCTGAAATTATGAAAATCATTATTTTTCTTTATGGTTAATAGTTAAACTGAAGCTATTTATTATAAAACAAGAGCTTTTGTTGTTTTTAAATGTTAATAACAATGGAAACAAACATTTTAAGAAAGATCAAGAGTTATCATTTGATTTTTTTTGATAGTCACCAGTTTTTTTTTTTTTTAGCAACTTTCAAAATTTAAGCTGTTTTGCATCAATGACAATAAACCTAAAATCTGTCAAAATTTGCATAATAGTATTGAGGTCGGGCTGCATGAAGTGTCCAGCCTTGGATTCAGAACATTTGCTGTTAAGACATAAAAAAGTATAATGAAAAAAAAGAAGAGGTTAACTTAGTGATAACAAAATACTATCAGCTGAAAATAAAATAGAAAACATAGTATGACATTTTCTTCCAAACCAGGTTGATCTGATGTCCTTCAGGTTGTTACCTTCTTCAACAAACCTGATTCTATGATTTCACTTCAAATAAGTTTGTTAATCAGCCCCTTAATGGAAAGCAGAGTATGTAACTTAATGGTTAATATTCCAGTGTATTGTAACCTTTTCAGTGGCACCTAATTGTAAGTTAGTTGGACAATTAATTTGGATGTTTTCATCGTTTGTAAAAAAAAAAAAAAATACATACATGATGCTGTGATATCCACCCATAATACTGACTAAACTGAGAGTAAAGTGGAATTAAAGTCAAATTCCTTGTTATATTAATGGTTTGACAATTAAAGCACATTTGGATTACTCCATCTGAAATTAAATTCACTTTTTAATAAAATTAACTGTCAGTTGTTAAGTGGGTAACTGTTTAATGTTTGGCCTTTAACTAAATAGTGACTAATAACATAAACATTTTGAATAGCGATTTATTATGCATTTAATCTATTTTTTTTCTGTAATGTTTCAGTTTAACTAAGCAAATTTTTATTCCTTTTATAGTACGTGTGGTGGCCTTCTGTTCTAAAAAGACCAAAATGGTAACAGGTGGTTTTTGGATTTTTACGCACTTCCAGCTTGACCTATGTTTTGTAAAAGCATAGAAAAAATAATTGCTAATGTTAATTTAATGTTTGAAGCTCTAAAAAGTGGTTATTTTACAAAACCTCCCGTCTACGCCAGACATTTATTTAAACAATCGACCTCCACCCAGCACCCAGTATGTTCTTCATTACTCAAATTATTGGGAGGGTCTAACAAATTCGAAATATAAAAAAATAATTATACATTTTTGTCCCAAATTAACTTAAATATATTCTAACTACTAAAGATTCAGCATAAACGCCCACAACAGTACGGTGTTATGAAAAAGATTGCTTGTAAAGTAATTTAAATCTGATAAAAGATAATTATTCTGTCGACACAGAGAATGCTCACATATTTGAGATACCGCAGTGTGGTTCAAAGGGAGTTTACAGCCTTTATGATTATCTTTACTTATTTCACTGTGAAAATGAATCCATAAAAATTGTTTTTAAGTTTATTTTACATTTGAAAATATATATTATTTTAAGGAAAGAAAATCAAGTAAGTCTGTACCAATCATTTTTGTAATGACCTAAGGTGAGACAATTTACTGTGGGGTTAAATTAATGAATAAATTACTTTATTATTGACAATTAAGTTAAAAATACAAATTTAACACATGCAAACATCATGTAAAATAAATAATATATGTAATTATTATGTTGTATGTATAATTTTGTCCCTATATAATAATAATAATAATAAATCCAATTTGTACCGCACTTTTCATTAATAAAAATCTCAAAGTGCTACACAGTGCAAATAAAATCAAAGATAAAAATCAACATCATAAAAATCATGTGGAGGCAGAATAGGCTTGCTTAAATAAAAAAGTCTTCAAGCCTCTTTTAAAATCATTCAGTGGTTGTGGAGCTCTCAGATGATCTGGGAGAGAGTTCCAGAGACGGGGGGCAGCGACAGCGAAGGCCCGATCTCCCATGGAGCTTAATCTGGAGCGAGGAAGGTGAAGGAAGTTGCAGTCTTGTGATCGAAGAGATCTGGTGGAGGAATGTGGAGTGAGAAGGTCCTTCAGATAATCCGGTGAGGATCCGTTTAAACACTGATGGGTGATGAGCGCGATTTTGTATTGAATTCTGCAGGTGATGGGAAGCCAGTGAAGGTCATGCAGAATAGGTGTAATATGGGCAGATTTGCGGGCCCTCAAGAGAATCCTGGCTGCGCTGTTTTGAATGTATTGGAGCTTCTGAAGATGTTTTTTATGGATTCCAACAAACAGAGAGTTGCAGTAGTCTAACCTGGAGGAGACAAATGCATGAACGAGAGTCTCAGCATCAGAAAAAGAAAGAAACGGACGAATTTTGGAGATATTACGAAGATGAAGGAAACAGATTTTAGACAGATGCTTAATGTGATTTTCAAAAGTAAGTTGAGAATCCATTCTAACTCCAAGATTTGTAACTATGGTGGAAAAGGGGATGTCTTGTCCAGAAAAGAAAACAGTCGTCATAGTTGAAGATTGAACCTGGTGAGGTGTTCCGATCAGCATGGCCTCAGTTTTGGAGCAGTTTAACTGAAGGAAATTCTGAGTCATCCACTTCCTTATCTCCTCCAGGCAGGTAGTGAAAGCATTAAGTGAAGATGGTGATGATGCTCTAGTTCTAATATAAAGTTGTATATCGTCGGCGTAGCAGTGAAAGGAGATGTTATATCGATTTATGATTTGACCCAAAGGCAGCATGTAAAGGGAAAACAGCAGGGACCCTAATACTGACCCCTGTGGGACACCACAGGAGACAGAGACAGCCTGGGACTTGGCCTTGCCGAGGCTAACACATTCCAGCCGATTGGAGAGAAAAGATTTAAACCAGTCCAGAACGGTGTCACAGAGACCGACCTCCACATGAAGACGGTGTAGTAGGATGTTATGGTCCACAGTGTCAAAGGCTGCAGTTAGATCAAGGAGAACAAGGAGAGATGTAGACCCAGCATCAGCTGCCATGTAGATGTCATTAGTAACTCTCAGCAAAGCGGTCTCAGTGCTGTGAGCAGAACGAAACCCAGACTGAAATTTCTCGTACAGGGAGTTTTGTTCTAGATGAAGCTGCAGCTGAGCGGCAACAGCTTTTTCCAGCACTTTTGACAGAAAAGGAAGATGTGAAATTGGGCGGTAATTGGAAAGAATATCTGGATCCAGGTTAGATTTCTTTAGAAGAGGTTTAATGATGGCTGTTTTAAGAGGCAATGGAACATGACCAGATTTCAGTGATTTGTTTATTATTTGTGTGATTAACGGACTTATTGCGGCATGATTCGATTTTATGAGTGATGAGGGGCAGGGATCCAGGGCACAAGATGAAGGCTTCATTTTCTTGAGGATGTTCTCCACTTCACTCTTTGCAACTTCATCAAAGCAGCTCATGGACCCATGGTGTACAAGGGTAGATGGCAGCCGAAGATCAGGAAGGCTGTGGAGCTGAGATCTAATAGAATTAACTTTGTTTTTGAAGAATGAGAGAAACAGATTGCATTTTTCAGTCGAATCCTCATCCTCAGTTTGTTGATTGGGATGAAGGAGATGTTTACAAAGCGGTATGAAGAATTTACTCTTATTTAATCCTACCCCTTCACTTGCCTATATTCCTTAACAGGTGGAATCACTAATCATGGATGATCTATCATTTGATCCAACCAAAGTTTGAAACAAAATAGTGACACAAAGGGAATATGAACTTTAAAGCCCTTTGATATCTGAGGTGTGGCTGCTTTCTTATCGTCCACCACTCCCCACTGCGTGCTCCTTTAATGGCTACTGACCATGGCGTCATCCTGACAGTCAGGAGGCAGTTGTAAAACTGCGTGAGTCGTTGAGTCCTTTGCTCCAATGTGTGTGTTCCTGCCTGGGTTTAATTAAAATGCACAGCAGCTCTATGTTTCACATTCATGTTAAAAAGGTGTGTACTGTTACAGAAAATGACTGTAGATTTTCTCTCAGCTCTTAGATCTTTTTCAAACAGGTGTTAGATCTCTGCTCTGTGGAATACCACTAAATCAGATGATCACGTCAGATGAGAGGAGTAACATTTTCTATGAAACCTAAACTTAACAAGACCCCTTTCTTTTTATGGAAACTAAAACCAACCATGAGATGATGCCCTACAGGGAAAAAAGACACGTTTTGGATAAATCTCAGCCCATATCTCACAGACTAATTGTGAAATCTAAAACAAGATAAAACTGCTCATTTATCTGATAAAACTATATGCACCCCCCACCCTACCCCTTCACTTTAAACTTGTTTATAAAAACAAACAACCCACGCCTGAGAGAGATCTTTGAGGTAAGCAGCCAGCCAGACTGCTCCATCAACAGACAGATGCAATATTGCAGATGTTTATAGCCTAGCTAATGGAAGCGAATAAATCAATCTTAGCTGTTTAGAAGAGCTACCACTGAAAAACTACACCCACATATTTATATATATATATATATATATATATATATATATATATATATATATATATATATATATATATATATATGTATATATATATATATATATATATATATATATATATATATATATATATATATATATA